TGTTGTTGGGGTTTTCTTGTGTTGCAGTTGCAGGTAGGTTGAATGTGTCTAGCGGGATGTCAAGAGGAATATTTGCTTCAGCTGAAGGACGTTCTGCGGCTAGCCGTTTGCGTAACTGATTCCGAAGGCATTGCCACATGTCACTGCCTAACTCAACTTCGTACGTGACTCGGCCAACTCTGCTGACCACTCGCGTTTCCGTCCATGGACCATGGGTTAGTCTGTAGTCACGGGAAAACACGGGACATCCCACTTCGTACGTGGATTGCTTTTCAAACTTTGTCCGTACTGGTGTCGGTGAATTACTTGGATGCATCGGGCTGTGGATCGTCTTCAGTCTTCTTCCCATGAGGATCTCCGCTGGGGACTTTTGCTCCGGCAACATCTCATTTGGTGTTGTTCGGTACACGTGTAAGAAATTTCGCAACGCGTCCACTGGCGTCCACTTCCCATTTGACTAATCCAGAGCTCTTTTAAACGTATCCGCAAACCTTTCTGTTTGCCCACTCGACTGCAGGTAGTATTGTGGCGATCAAAAGGGCTTTATGACTAGCCGTTGACAGAATGACTGGAATTGGCTGGAGATATTGCGAGCTAAGACTTGTGATCTGTGAGAAGCGTGAATCTCCGACCGTGAAATCGGCGCACAGCGATTAAAAGTGCAAGAGCACCTATTTCTATCTGGCTGTATTTTATTCTGCTGAGGTTAGAATGCGGGACGCATGAATAACGGCTTTATCCGACGCGTCCGGGAACCGTAGGCCATAGTCTGAAGCGTCTGACGCTACGATGATCGGCATGGCTGGATCGTAGTGTGTCGATGGCAATTCCGAACTAATAATGGACTTCAGTTTACAAAATGCGGCGTCACACTGTTTAGTCCAGTTCCAAGACCTGTCCTTCTGCGGTGAGTCATTCAGTGGAGCGCAAATATCATGCATCGATGGAATGAACGATGACTAATAGTCGACAAATCACAGGAAGGAACGTGGTGCAGAGATATTAGTGGGAATGGGCATCAGTTGATAGGCTGGATATACTCAGGATCCGAACTGCGACCGTCGGCATCGAAAACAAACCCAATACTGTTCGTTCTCGTAGCTGTTATGATGTCGTCATCCAGACAAGCTGCGAATCCCGACATACCTAATTGGATGATATCTATTAATTTGGAAAGTAGTTGATAACTGAGTAATTAAGTTCCAAGTCATGTGGTTGTCGTGGTTGGGGTTGCAATACCAGTTTCCATTTGGTATTCTACGGAGCAGCAGTTAATTCTAACTGATCGAACCAATCTAAGCCGAGTACATTTAGATCAGCTGGCGTTATGTAACATACCCCAAGGAAAGTAACTCTACATCCCATTTGTCCTAGCAGGTGAAGATAATTAGCATACGCAGTACGAGGCTTTTGCATTTTACGCTTCACGTTTGGGCTCCCAATTTTGGTACAAGTCTTACGTGAGAGGATAGTGACACCTGAAACAGTATCTATTTGCAATCTAGATGAATGCCCATTAATATTAACAGTAATAAATCTTCTGTCACCTGGTGAGCTTTGACACGAAGATACTAATCTAAATGAATTGATGCGGGATGTAGGAAGGGTCTTTTTTGGTATTTCTTGATTGACTTGGATTCTTCTTCCTCAGACAAAACCCATCCTTATGGCTGATAACCTTACAATTCTTGCATCTATGTTGCCTAAATGGGCAGTGTCGAACGTAGTGACATGCACCACATTGCCAGCAAGGAATAGCGGGATTCACTTCAGTCTGTCGTCTCGAACTGGAGTGGCAAGGACTGGATGAAGCAGGGACGTATTTGTTTTTGTAGAGCGTCTGTTGCATTGCTCGTACTTCAGATCGGCCAGACACACCACTTCGGACCATAGAAGTGTCTCGTCTCCGATTAATGAGACGTTGATAGTCATTAGCTACATCACTCAGGTGAGTTTCAGCATTTGATCCGACCGACTTGTTCGTAAGTCATTGAACGTTTGGTACTGCAGACTGCAAATGAGGATCAGGGCTCTTAACTGGTCTTCAGTAAAGGATATCAACCGGAGTTGTTCGCATTCACGGTTGACGACGCCCACATGCGTAAGTAAACCACCATCTTCGTTCAAGGTTAGCTTCAAGCGTCGATAACAAGTGTTAAACAGTGATGAGTTATCGCCAAAATGGCTTAATCTTTGAACTGTGTCTGTAAATGACCTTTCACGTCTGTTCAAAGGCAGGATCAGATTGCGACACTTGTCCAGCTCAGTTGCACCAAATTCAAGCATCATCTTGATTAGGGAAATCAATTTTATATAGATCTTCATAACTCATATTTATTGAATCCGCGGTCAAATTTTTAGAATCATATTATCAATGCGTATGGATAACGATTTAGTACTCCAAGATTACCTCATTGGGTGAGTATGTGTACCTTATTTGTTCGATACCATTTAAACAATCCAGACAGCAACACTTACAGCAGAGGTTGTGCTGCGACTAAAAACACGAGTTCAGTTTATTCTGAATTAATCACAATTGTGGTTCTCTTAACTGAAGCCAAACTCATCACCTAAATAATGAACGCTCCGAACTTCGTCGTGAATGTTCTTTTTGATAATTCATAAACCATCTACATGCATAAGGTATTTAAACCAGACCGATAAAGTCATAAATGCTAATAAGTATTGAACAGTATATGTATGTGACGTATGTGTAAAACACCGCATCAATAAGCAATAATAGCCTATTTGTGTTTAGCCGACTTTGGTCAATAAATGCGTTGTCCTGGTAATGAGATCAACACAGAAATATGGCTCTTAAGGACTTTGAAATAATCAAAAATCTCTTTTCAAACGTCTCTTATTCTGCAATGAAATCAGTTGAGTGTCAAAACGTGCATCGTTGAGAAGTGTCGAATTCATATTTCAATAAACGCCTGTATCGTGGCTTATAAAACTGAACCTATAAATGAAAATTTCAGCCCATCGCCAAACTAGACGAAACGACAAGCTTGATCTGATGATATTCATCCAGTGACTTCCTTATAATAATAATGATAACAGTACTAATGCTAATACTCACAATAATAATCACCTGATTTGGAGCTGCTTGATGGATATAACATAACTTAGTCACCACATAGTTTATCTTTATTCTTCCGTGTTAATAATTAGTATGGTAAAAAAGGCAGATCTTCTCAATGCCGCCCTTTGTTTCATTTCAACGATCTTGAACGGCCTGACAAGAGCGGTAATTCCGTATTTCAGCTGCTCTAGGTTTGAATTGCGCTTGTTGTGTTGCCGGAATATCACATGTTTTCATATTTAAGTGATCTTTTGCTGAAACGAAACCGCAAAATCATTACGAAGAACATTTATTTAGCCCTCTCTGTATTGTAGTGCACACGTTGTATTGACTGTAGCTTCGTAACTTGCCAATCTTCCTAATTTGGGAAAAAATGTGCCTAGATGGGTGAACTTTGGGGATAATTTTGGTCTAGGGCGCCATCATCTGTTTGCGTGGAAGCAAAAAGAATAGTGAGCAGACTTAATCAGGATCATGGATAGATTGTAACAGGTTAGCTCGATCAATTGCGAAATATAAACTGTATAGTTCATTATATTCTTATACATTGCAGTCGATGAGAGATAGATAACACTCACACCTGCTATAAAAATAATGATTTCGTAAAAGTTAAAAATGACTTTGTGTTTGCTTCATAAGTACCAGTTACATTACGAAATCTCATAGTACTGAGTCCATTTATAATTATCGCTTGAATATTGAGTTTCTTCATTGTGACAGTAAATTCAAATGGATACTTGTAGTGTCATTCACTTAGTCGGATGGCATGGCTCAACCTATCAGACGTGCTCGTTATGTGTAACTTATTACCATTCACACTGAATATAATATTCTATCCCCAGCACAAATGTGTTCTTCGGAAGAACTAAGTGTCATCGTTAATTGTCACGAAACGATGAGTCAGTGTAGACATGGATGTGACTTCCACGTAAGACCTTACAGATTGGGCAACCACACGACAAATTTACCGTTTTGTGATCAAGTCTGTCATCAAAGTAGTATTAGTACCGAACTAGACTATAATTTTACAGGTAAGCACTATTTAGACATTACTCGTCAATATGAATTAGAGCTTTGTTCATAATTTGGTCAGCGATTTCGGATTCTGTTCACAGAAATTCATTCGTTAACCCTATAATAGACACGTCATAAATCAGTATTAACTACGACATAGTTTAGTTGCCATACTCAAAACAAGCACGAATTGCTTTACTTTCGAGGAATATGTGACAGACTAATATGGCACTTACAGCAATGTTATACACAGTTCCTGTGTATGTTCAGAAAGCGGTCAGAAAAGGCTATCAACGTTTATTGTTATTCATATAATTTTTTCCTCAGATACGTCATGTGATAGTATATCAGTTTAGTCATAAACGATGATACTTATAATGGATATAACTGTTTATGATTGTGTATCAGCAACTTATATAATATTCAAAAATGTAATTGAAAATTTTCCAGAATGAACATCAAATTTTAACTTTCAAGAGACTCCTTATTTTATGAATTTTGTGATTGGTTCACACCTTGCGACATAACGAAATATCTGAAACTTTATTAACTAACCATTGCAGCTAGATGCGTTGAATAACTCGTTTTGAAGATATCTTCCAGACAGAATATTTTGAGCAGACGAATTGAGGATAGAGGCACTACCTTTGATATAGTGGAGAACTACCTTTAAGTCGTCTGTTTGTCCACTGCAACTTGAATATTTATGTATGAAGTTAATGTAGTGGCACAATTTCAAAATGCACGTTTGGAAGTTACTGTGAAGATATGGAGTATACTTCTTGGTCTTCCATAAATTTTAGTCTCACACATTAACCTTTTCCCGGTCTTTTTACTTTCTTCAGTTACTGTGAGATATTTAAAGAACTTGTTTGGGTTTTTGTACCTATGCCTATTATTTCAACTTGTTACCTAGTAACACTTCGTAGCATGTGATTATAATCATCTCTGTATGAACAGGTTATTTCGTTCACAATCGAGTGGTTTTTGTAAATTATTCTGTTCAGTATGCATTGCGATTCCTTTGATAATGTTTGCAGCGATGTCTTTGGCAAGTTTTTTTAATTATACCATCACACCATGTTTATTAATAAAATGGTAATTAAAAGGAACGTTTTAGTTCGCCGTTAAAACTCACTCTCTTGAACTGAATGCCTGATACAAAGTTTTTTTCATCCATTTGAAATTAAAACAAGTCCAGAACCTGTGTGGTAGCCACCAATAGTTATGAATTACCAAATCTAACAGCAACAATCAATAATAATTAATTGTCTCAATGGTTACATTTCATCTTGTTTCCAGGATAAAACTCAGAATATTTGTATCTATAAAGTGGTTTGGTCCATTAATGAAGTCCGATGAAAAGTGACATAATTTTTATTTGTTTTAGACACATAAACATTGGTACAAGAAGGCAAGTAGCACATATGTGTGAGGGCTAAAATACCGATCGGGCACCCAAACCAAAACTGGTGGTTTTCTAAGCATGCCACTCCTCGAGCCGCTGACCTACAGGTGTAACCCACAAGACAGTGGATCAACGTTATGAGATGCAGTGACACGATAGTCGATTGCGAACAATAGGTTCATACACCCTTTATTCCCTCGGGTTCCTGGGGCCCATGTGCACCAACAATTTGGAAGCAGGGTTTTCCAAATTCTTTAGGTTGATCTCTATTCACCAATCTAGTTAGAGCGCCGGAAATATGCTTAATAGCAGTGTTTTAGCACTGAATAGTTCTTCTTTAAAACGCGGTTGACTTTGAAGTTGAACAGCGTAAACACCTGTATAAATCAAACTTTGACAACTTGGATTCGCTAGTGTCCGTTTTAGAGAAAATTTATTTTTGTGTACTTCACGTTTGTATGGATTCGTTTAGATTGGAGCAAATAGATAAATGTTTGTGTTTTATACACCTAAATAGCTCCTGATGATATTTGTTTGTGTGCTAAAACGTTACTGAAAACTTTGTTTTCAGAAGTTGTCCGTCGTTAAAATCTGAAACTGCAATCTTACGTTGTGCACATACCTAGACGAAAAATAGAAGTAATCCTCTGTGTCATGGAACTGACATAATGTTAATCAGCAAGACCAGTGACTGTCGTTGTTATAATTAAAAGATGTTTTGTTATCACATTTTTAATATCGTTGTTCTGAAATTCGGTCTGTTTTTGCTGATATTTTACTGCTAGCCATAATTCATCTATCCCATGGATAACAATTAAGTTGTTTACTTATAAAGACTTTTAAAATGATTAAATGAAGCTTTCAGAATTTCGAATCTCACCCAATACAGTCTGTGAATGACAATTTAAAAACATTCGTCTTTGCACACTAGCAATTCGAAAGTGTTGTAATTGCATTTGCAAAACTGTGGGTTGTAACCAGCCTCCGAGCATCAATGTTTATGTAATTATTACTAGCAAGTATACTAGATCTCAGTTCTGTCTGCGCTTTTTTTAAACCGAGATTCATTTCATTATCTGAAGTTGTACTTATTCTTGGTTACACTAGTTTTCTTCAATCAAGCAATGTCATCTCCTATAGAACAAAAATGAAGTAAATGGAGGGGATAAAGAGAAAATTCGTCTTGATTATTTGAATTCACCTTGGTTTGTACTGATTCACATGGATTCAACATGGCTTAGCTACAATCAGTTATTCCTAACTACTTATATTTATATGCATCTCTCTATTTATTTCTACAACTAAGCAGTGTTTATAAATAAAAATCTGAATATTTGAGATATGTGATGTTGAACATTATGATTTGCTTACATTTTGTAGTACATATATTTATTGGGATGCCTTAAATTTTCATTTGTTTAGTTGCTAAGAGAGATAAATAGTTTGTAATTTTGCTTATTGTATCCCTTCATAACTGTAAAATAACTATATTTAAATGGTTAAATTCACAAACATTTATCATGGATGCGCACTGTTGAGGAGTTTCACAATAAGACGAAACAGCCGTCCAATGCTTCCACGTTTTCCATGGTGGTCTAGCTTCAATTAACTCATGATCTCAACCATTAAAATTGCTATAATATCCACAAAACCCCTACTGATATTAACATTATAAGTTTACCATGGATTCTTCATGCAAAGTATTTGAAATTAGTCATCAAAAAAGAAGTCTTCTTGAACGAGTTTGTTCTCTGGTTAGTACTTGTTATCAGAACATACTTGCAATTTTGATAGAACTGATACTTTCTGATAGATTGAAATCTGAGTTATTGATTTAATAGTTTGAAATGTTACTATTGAGATGTTTGAGCTCGGAAGTCATTTATTACTTGAACTATGAGTTTTGTTTCTATGAGTTTACGTTTTCTCACTATTACTATTTAATATCTTCAGACATTTTTTCATCAATCAGGGCGGTCGAGACATTTGTTACGTGTGCCTAACGTTCATCCATCTTGGTGGAAAGTGAAAGCTCGTTTAGGAATAACTTGCAAGAAAGTTAGGGGTACTCAAACTAAAATGTGGTATCAGTCCACCAAGTTATTGGCTGTTGGCCTGAGCCATATGTGTTGGTGCAGATTACCTGGTTGATGTCCGCGGTTGGTGACGTCGTTTGACGTGGCTAATAACCGGCCACGATGGCACATAGACATTCACACTGTCCTCCTCTAGATCTGGAGTTTCTTTATTCCGTCGTACATTGACCATTCGTTCTGCCTTTCGTACCATGGTTTCAATGTTTAGTCTTTTCATTATCATTACCACTACAGTTATTTCCACTCCTTTGCTATTCGTCTCGATTTGCCAATGTGATTTGGTAACTAGGGCGAACGAGCGTTTGTGCCAGGCTTTAAATTGACTGTTCCTGATTGACTGTCGGACTATTGGTTTTATTATTATCATTATATTCCCATTTTACAAATGTTGTATCTTTTTCTAAATAGCTCTTGTAACACGAATATCTAATGGAAATCATGTGGATCCTGAACAGATTGGTGGTTATTTAATCAGCTTAGATTATAATGAAATAGTCAAAGGTGATTCAAAATGAAGAAGTTGCTTACCTGAGGCAATGTGTAATCCCAAATCGAATCATTTACCGCATCAGTTCTATTTACCGGCGCCGAAAATTGCAGCAACCAAATATTCAATTAAGGATGATGATGATTCATTTAGCAGCTACGGTGAAAGTGGTCATCGTGAAAATAATCATAAAGGTCTACTGAACAAAGGCAATTTGGCTACATTTATATTACGGATAAAAGATATAAGTTTGACTAAATGAACCACAACTATGAGTGAGTTATTTGGTTTTCAACTTTCATTCGTTTTATTCATTCAAATCATGTTTGTTGCGAAAGATTATCACAAGCAACGTAGAACTTAGCACAAGCGTGTATCGGTTCAGCTCACCAGATCATATCAACACAACAAGATGAAATTATCATGAGAAATCCCATCACTGTCTCCACTGATTCTGAGCCATGTTAACAATGTCTGCAGCCATTGCTCACATTAGTCACTCTTATCTCAACTAGGCAGTCTACGCTCATCAACATAGCTCAAACTATAAATATGGTATGGGGGAAAAGTCAATCAAAATTGAGAACATGACTTGTAGATTTTTGTGCAAAATTCATTTATCACGTATCACTAATATGAGACATACTTTTGTATTCGTTTAAACTCATAACGAAATATCAATTGTTGCCACAGTGTTAAATGTATTCTATAATTAGTTTTTCCTATGTATATTGTAAATAAGGTGGTAACCAACATTGTCCTTACATTCTAATCTTAAACCTTTAAGGCCGAAACAAACATTCACTTATTGGCACTATAACTAATGGCTTCTTGAATGAGTGGAATCCTGTCATCCATAATTCTGTCGAGGGAATGTTTTGTATTATATCTGATGCAAATTCGTGACTGTAGAATTATGGTCTACTATGATATTAGTACTGCTCCTATAATAGACCTAATCCTAAATTTGTAGATTTGTCATGATATAAGTGCCTAATCTATAAGATCTTACGTGGATGTCACACCATCGACTACACCAACTCACTGTATCGTATCAATTACCAATACATGATGTAGAATAAGGTTAGACTTGAGAAGGAACAATATATTTAATATGAATAGAAGATATGAGGTAACATTGAGATGGACCACGCCACTCGACCAACTCCAGTCCATTCAATTCCTTGTTCGCGCCTTCTCCATTGTTAGGTATTTCTCCATGTTAAATACTGAATATCTATTTTTTGAGTAGTCTCGTGTTCACAGCTTTGTGGATTGTGTGGCTATTGTCCAATGCCACTACACTACTCTCCCACCAGAATCAACGTGATGTTGGTTCGATACCAAATTGATGGGATCGTCGCGCGCCGAAGTTTACCAAGGATAATAAGAATCCTCCGGGTATTGGTAAGCTGAAAGATAAATCAAAAAGAAAGCGGCAGCATCTGGTCGGGAAATACATGTAATAATTTTAAAATATCTGCCTTCATGCTTAGAACGCTCGAAATGAGAATTTGGGTGAAGATTATTTGAACTATAAAGAATGGCATAACAATAATAATAATAATAAAACGATGCGTGTTAATAGCCGTTGGTTAATAACTTAACGTATAGGTAGTAAGTATTTTGTGTTTAGAAATATTACAAGCAATGAATATTGTAGAAATATTAATATTGGTATTAGTTTTGGTTTAAATTATGAAATCAAATAACGATTATGCCGGTAAGTTGTCCATATGAATTGATTGCCCAATTGCATCTGTATTAGTAGGCTAACTGAAGGAACAAAAGTATTAACGTGGAGAAGAATTCCAACTAGTGTTCCAGTTTGTTTGATACGGTTTATTTGGTTACGGGGAGATTTTCTCAACCTCATTTTTACTTGACCGTGATAGAATTTAGTAATACTACTAATACACATGAATGTTTATCAAACAAAATTTAAATACGTTAGTGATAATTATATGAATTTTGGACAGATAGCTAAGAACAAATCATTAAACATGAGTGTATTCGTAAGAGACATGCTCTAGACTCAATGTTCTGATTTGCGATAGACTATTTATTTATATTTATACTTGCCGGCTGATGGTGCATACAAGTTAGTTGCACGTATGCAGGCAGAATACGATTTATTTGAGATATGGTGATTATAAGTTACTGAAATCAGTTAAGCCTGTGTCACATTACTAGGTGATTGGTGCTGTAAGATGTACTCGGCTAAATACGTTTTTACAAGATGATTAACGTGAGTGATGCTCATGTGATTATCAGGGAGTACATAAGTTGTAACCAAGGGGAGTACACTCCCAACTCATATCTATGATAATGGCTTGAACCTTAGTCAGTGTTGGGGTAAATTCGACATTGACGTTTTCAGTTTGCAGGAGATTTGCTCGACTGCTTATACTGATTATTTGCATGCATGATTGTGTCGCTAAACCATCAATTAGACTGACAAGGTTTCGAGATATTTACTGAGTGAGCATCTGATAGAGAAACATACTGTAATCATCTGTAGTGAATGAAGATACCAAGAAAACAACACCATTTAATGGTAATTATAAGTCAATTTGCTGACCGATTTTGTTAATAGTTTCATTAATTTTATCAATCATATTACGTGATTGTCAAGTGATGACAATGCTTTATGACGATATCCTGAAACTATTATGTTTAACTAGTTATAGTGTTGATTGAGGATTAGGCAGTGGAAAACTATGTTCGCATTTTAGGCTGCTAATATGATAAACCAATCCATAAACCCAAATACGATTAGCAACAACGACTATGATGGGTTATTGATAAATGTTAAGGGCGATTCAGATGATTTCTAAATTTAGAAGACATGAAGATGTAGTGTAACGTATGTACGGGCCAGGTCAACATGTAGGTTGTTGACGTGTATGATAATTTAAAAATAATGAACATGACCAGATAAATAAATTCAAAGTTAAGAATGCTTGTGAAACTTCAGGCAGGAAGATGACGCGTTATAAACATTCCATAAGAAGTTACTGCATTTAGCCTAGGGACACTTACAAATATATGGCAAAAACAACTGGAAGACATATACATGTTAAGTAAAAAGAATCATTAAGTAAAATAGTTGAACTCGCCTGAATTATTTTTGAAAATAAAATTATTCAGTGGACGACATATATAACACCATTCGTGAGGAGTAGTAATGATCCAGTCCTAACCATTAATATCTTACCCTAATCATAAATAATTTAGAGGTTTTTGAGTCATTTGTAGTATTTTGAAAGATAGATACTTTATATCTACAAAGATGGGTGTATATGACTTTGACTTTTCAAATTACAGAGTAACTAGTAATTTGTCTACACTTTCCAGTGCTATTGTTTTCTTTACCATAACCTATCCATTTCCAAATCTGCTTCTGATTAACTAGTAACTAGGGTGAGTACAGGGTTAGAATCCTACCAGTCTTGCAGAGGCACTTTGCATTTCGAAGGTGCAAAGCACATACCATACCTACGGACACTGATTGCCAACTGATTAAGTGCGGATTGCATGCCTTGGGCATTATCGCACAGTAAGACAATATCGTCCGCATACTCAAGGTCGAGAAGTCTTTCTCCAGGCAACAGATCCACACCACCATTACTTACATTCATCAGAGCTGTTTCCAGAATGTCATCGATGGCAAAGTTGAAGAGGAATGGTGAGATTGGGCAACCCTGCCTAACCCCACTGCTCGAATGGAACAATGGAGAGAGGTGGTTGTATGCCCTCACTCTGCCTGAGGTGTTTTTATATAGGGCTTTTAGGATGTTAATAAACTTCTCAGGCACACCCTTCTTCAATAGACAATCCCAGAGAACAGTCCTGTCCAACGAATCGAAGGCAGCCCTGATGTCAAGAAACACTACGATTGTTGGCCTTTGTTAAGTATGGCGGTGTTCTAACATTTGGCGGAGGGTGAAGATATGATCAATACATCCTCGACCAGAACGAAACCCAGCCTGCTCCTCGCGAGTCAATCTTTCTCGGGTTTTGAACAACCTACGAAGTATGACGGAAGCCAATAGCTTGGACGCAATCGGAAGTAGACTTATCCCCCGATAGTTGTTACAGAACGACGTGAACCCTTTTTAAAGATAGGGACAACTATCGACTCATTCCATGACGTTGGTACACTCTCTAGTTCCCAAACCTTTGTAAACAACGTCGTCAATTCCTTAGTCAAAAAGTCACCACCATCTTTAAAAAGAGCCGGAGGTAAGTCATCTGGGCCAGGTGATTTGTAACGCTTCAAGAGTTGGAGTTCCTTGCGGACTTCCTCCTCGTTTGGTGGATCAGTCGTCACCGGCCATGGAGGGCAGGACAGTCTGACCGATGTTGCCGGAGCAGCAGGCCAGTTGAACTGCCCTTCGAAAAATTCTGCCCATCGTCCAAGACGTCGATGGATGTTAGTGATTGGCATCCCATCATCCTCGCAGATTGTTTCACTCACACCAGACTTCTTGCTGCCAGTGGCTCGGATGAGCTGGAAGAGCTTCCGGTAGTTACCAGATGCAGCTGCTGCTTCCAGCTCATTAGCACGCATCGACCACCAGGCTTCTCGGTCCTTACGCAAGCTTTGCCCAATTTCCTTACGTAACATCCTTCGTTTATGGTCAAACTCACGGTCACCCGGAGTAGACCGACGGGCTTCAATGAGTTGTAAGGAACCAGAAGAAACCCAGTGCTTAAAGCGGGACGTTTCGCAAACCCACAACTGACTGTTCCCGCCATTTTCATGGCGTCATGCAATTGCAACCAATGCTCATCTATACTTTTCGGTGGAGTGGTAGCTAGCCTAGAGGCTAGCTCGGTTCGATACTTACTTGCAACAGAAGTTGCAACCAGCTTGCTAACATCAATCCGTTGATGGCGGTCACTTCGTTGTCCACTGAAAAGTAAGGCAAGATTGGCGCAGACCAAGGCATGGTCAGAGTCCAGATAGGTACTCCAAAAGGAGCGGCAGTCTTGTACACAACCACGCCAGCGGTAGCTGATCGCGATGTGATCAATCTGAGTCCAGGCTTGAGATGCAGAGGGAGGACGCCAGGTGGCACATCGGCGATGACTGTGCCGAAAGTTAGTGCTAGCCAGAAACAGGTTGTGGTCTGTGCAAAGTTGCAGTAGACGGTCCCCGTTATCTGACCTGCGACCAACGAGTCCCCATCGGCCACCTAAACGACTCTCTTCTGTGCCTAGACGCCCGACCTGAGCATTCAAGTCTCCGGCTAGTAC